AAAGAAAAATTTGTCAGATATGAAACGACTAGATGCTATGCATTAAATACACACTTGATAAGGATACAATAGGTCTAGGATGTCAGTGGCAGATATCTCAGCAAATAATTTCTGCCCAGAGATTTTTTTAAGATATCAATTTGATTTCAATTATGCTCAGGAGAAAGAAAAAGTGATTACTTCTATCTGCACATCTAGGAATTAAAGAGAATATGGTAGCCAGAACTCACTTTATCTCCAGGATTTTCTTGTACCAGGGCTGATGAGGCTCACTCTCATAAAGCACACACCAATTAGTAGTGAAAGATTTGGCAGAGTAAACCTTAAAAAATGCATACATAGTAATTCAAATTCTGGGAAACTAGCTTTAGAATATAATCTTCAATACAGAAACAGTTTACAGTGTGCACAAAGCCATTATTTATAACAGTTGTTAAATGTCTATAGAGTTCTTAAAATCCTGTGATTATTTTGAGGAAATGGGGAAAGCCTATGTTTGGGGAATTCCCTACTGAATATTGGAGAGAATAAAAAATACTCTTATAGCGTTTTTAGTTATACAATGATTCAGAACTTAAGTTTGTACTGGTCCGCATGACCTGGCCATAAAAAACGTTTTCATTCCTAATGTATATTAGACATTGTTCCCTAAGATAAAGTGCCAAAAGTGACTGGCCCTTCAAGTGAGTTTTAAAAGTCAGTTCCACCCCTTTCTGATGTAACATCTTGAACAAAACTAAGGCTGAACAAAACAAAATTACTATGGATTACATCCATCCTATTTGGATTATGACCCAGAGCCAGATTAGATCTTTAGAGGCCCTAAACACAAAAGACTATTTCTACCCTCTCTCGTGTAGTTTAAAATAACATTAAATCACAAAATAATTGCAAGTCCAACAAAGTTCTCATTTCCTCCCAAGGTACCTGGCAGCTTTTTTTCGGGGTGGTTAGGGGGAAGGAACTGTAAAATATTTTTAAGTTTTATATTTTAGGAGCCTCCTCTGCTTTATTATGGTCTAAACACCAGCTTTTCTCAACTGAGGTTCCTCATATGAACCACAGAAAAACTATTTTCTCATTTCTCTCAAGAATGGTACATAATTAAGGATAGTATACTACTAGAACCATTGCACATGCGTAGGAGAGAAATGGTAACTATGGATGCCTAGGGTATCAGGGCTTGATTCCTTCATGGATTTAGTTTGTCTTGTAGTAATCTAGCTCTACTGAGATCCAATCTCCCCTCCTGTCCCATCCCCCAGGGGCCTTGGCCTTGTGGGGACAGGGCAAGGGTACTAATAGCTGAGAATAATCAACAGTGTTTGAAGCAGTATTTTAGGATGGTTAAGTGCACAAGTCCATGAGCCTTATTCTCTGGGTTCAATCCCAGCTCTACCACTTACTAGCTCTGTGACCTTGGACAGATGAACCTTCCCTTTGTTTTAAAAGGAGAATAGTAGTACTTATCAGGCACTGTTGTACTGTTGAATATTGAATTACTGCATTTTCTTTAAAGTGTTTCAAATGGTGCCTCGCACATCCTAGCACCCAATAAATGTTAGTTGTTATTGTTTAATTCAAGTGGGAAGAATCTTTGGACCATAAAATATTGTGACCTGAACCAGAGTTGTATGTGTGTGGAGGGATAGTGCCTCCACTATTTTATTAATATTCACTGTTTTATTATAGTACCTTAAAGTGACTTTTTCCTTTGTACTTTCTCTGTATTTTTTAAAGTTTTCAAAGTGAGCAAGTATTACACTTTTAATAAAAGGAAAAAATTAAAACTGTCAAGTGGTGAATCTCATCTTTCCTAACTAACGTAGATCCAGAGTCAAGGAGAAAAAAAACAGGCTTGGTGAGTTGCCTTAAGCCATTCTCTTCTGGAATTGCTAATCCTTATCAGCAATTTTGGCTTAAGGCAGAATAAACAAGATATTAAAAAAATGATGTGCTTTGTATTGCTTGAATCTGAAACAAAAGGGAGAACAAAGCCTTGGTCCATAAGCAAGGAATAATAGCCATAGGAAAAAAGGCACAGAAGAGATTTTTCTAGGAATGCATGTAACTGGAAAGGAAAACAGGGCCTGGGGCTCAGCCCTTCATTAAACCCACATTCCAAGGGAAGGCTAAAATTTATCTTTAGAAAACACAATGTGGGAAAGACCAAAAAATTTCATGATCAGAGAATTAACGCTGCTACGAGTGTGAGGAAATAGGCACTTTCACACATTGCTGAAGACGCTGTAAATGGTACTGCAGTAACGATGGCTCCTCTTCATAAGGGCCCAGGAAAGAACATTTTCTAACATCTCAGTACTAGAAACAGTTGTGCCTCACCTGAGAAATTGATTTGTTTTATCAGACATGCATAAATAAAATGGCATGCTTTGAAAAAATGCAATGAAGGACCATTTTAAGGTATGAAATTTAGGTAAGATATAAAATTAAATCAGGAAAATCCAGCCAAAAGCCAAATAAAGCTGTATTTTTATACTGTACAAAAGAAAATTTACATTCTTAATGTAACTAGATACATCTAAGGAAAAATTACACATCTCTCAAGAAAGCACAATATTTAACATCTTAGATATGTTTCTGCATTGCAGACTGATAATGAATTTATACATCTTTATTTACAATAACTTAAAATATTTTTTTCATCGCTGGCAGATATTTACAAGGTCAACAGTGACTACATTTCACATTTCAACAATCAACAGCGTTAACCAGTTCAGTAAGACAATTAAGATAATGGCTTACATGCACCAATAAATATGATCTTAATTGTGCGTTTTTTTTCTTCAGCTCCAAAAAAATGAAGGTTTTAACTAGTCCTAGGTTGACAGGACAGCAGTCAAAAGAGACCATATTTTCTTCATGCCTATCTTATTTAATAATTTTCACCAGCACTATTCTCTGAACACTTGGGAAGTTTATACCAAGCTATAGGTTGATGCTGTTAAGAAAAAAAGAAGAGCTGATCTATACATTCTATATCCTTTTATGAAGCAAACACATGAAAGTGGGATATTTTCTGTTTACTTGTCTATTGTGACAGAGATCAGACTACATAATGTTAAAGCAGTAAAAACTCTCAGAAATTGTCGCTCAGAAGAGCCAAATTATTATGAGAAAAGTAGTGTGAAAATAATCTTTGCACCATTAAAAACTGTTTCACTTAACCAGTTAAACTGCATGTAAAGCCAACATAATTTTTAGAATAAGAATCAAAAAAGATTCACTGTTAAGCAGTTGATGAACTTATTACAAATATTTTAAAACAACATACGGAGCACTGAGCCTATCTCTCGGTTCAGTTTGGATGATAAAACTTTTAAAAACCCCAAAAACCTATATTACTAATTGTTAGAAAGCCAATCTTCTCTTTCCAAGATACCTGACCAATACATTCACTACTTTTTAACTACCACCTGATAAGAAAAAAAATAATACATAGAACCTGTTTGGACCATCAGTTAATATACAATTACACTTCATGTTTTCCAAAAAAATCATTATTTAATAGTTTATGCAAATCCTTTAGTTCTTATTGGTCTATACATTTAAAAAATGAGTATTTCAGCTTTTCTTAACCCAATCGTGTTTTTCTGCAAAGGAATAAAACACTCAGAGTGATCATAAATTATGTAAACAAACATACCATTTTAGCCAATATTATACTTAGTAGAAATAATTGCCATTGCCCATTTAAAAGTGTGCATTTCCATAATTTCCCCCTCACTTTTATTTTCAAAAGCCACAATATCATACAGTATACCAATTTTAGGAATTTCCCTCCTTTTTTATTCAATACTGATGAGAAGAATCCTTAATTTGAGTTAAGGAGACATGAAATTGTGCCATAAGGAATAATATTTGGACTTAACCTTTAACTGGTACTTGTGCTGGAAGCATAAATATTGACATTTTACTGACATGGTAAGAAAACTCAAATGGAATCTTGTAGGTACAGTATATCTATGTTTTAGATCAAACCATCTTTTGATATTCATTTCCCCCAAGGCTAGAAAGCAACCCTTTATGTTAAAGGAGCCTCATTCCTTAACAGTTAGATACCTTAAAAATTACATTTGGTTGATACATTTTCTTTGGTAAGTTTTGTAACCAATGAAGATGTAAAGAATTTCCTCGGATATAAGTAATACTGAGCTGTTGACACTCAAATACAGCAAACCAGATTGATTTCAATTCTGTAGTTGGGGATGGATTGTCCAATTAAGGTCATTTCTCTTTGAAAATAAAAGAATTTCTTTATTAAACCTCCAAATTGTGGTTTTTATAATTGTATACCTCCAGATACACAATTTTAAAAAAAGACTGATTTATACTTTAAGCTACACCTAATTCTATTTTTTTTTGGTAAAATCTATATTAAACATAATAGCATAATAGCAGACATCTGAATGTGCCTTAATTTGTAAGCATTTTCTCAAAGTCCAGAAGCAAAACATAGAAGCTGCATTTCTGTACTATGCTGCCAGCTATTTCACATCATTCCCAGCTTTCTGCGAATTTCTATCCTGAACTGTTTGCTCTTGTACATATTTCTCATGTGACTAATGGCTAAGACTACAAAAATACTGAAGAAATTAAAGTTACCAAAATTTTGTGGTTGTGTGGTCAGGTTTAGAAGGAATGTGCCTATACGGGCAGGGAAGGTTGAGTGATGATGATGACTCTAATTCTAACGGCTTGGGATCACCACACAAATTTCTGGCACTGCCAAAAATCTAATATAGTTTAAGTGCATGTTGGTTAATTCTATGGATAGTATTTCCCATGTATGTTCCATGCTATTATGATATACCCATTAGGTACACAACACAGGTAATACTAAAATTTATGTCTTACATTATCAACATGACCACCCTGGCAATGGAAAACTGGACCAATCTGGTGACTCATGATTTTATCAGCACTGTTAACAAGTTTACACTGCATTCCACCTTCTTGATCTGGCAAATATTCTCATATTTAGAGTTTAAGCTATCACTAATTTCTAGTTGGTTTTCAAACAACTTGTTTCTAAAAAGCACTTTAAAAAAATTAAAGTATTACAAGTAAGTGTCTCAACCGACTTAGTGGTTTGAAACATGACAATAATCATTCAACTTGAAAGATAAGAAGTCTCGTGTTCAGACTGTTTAACATAGCCATAGTATAGAAAAGTTGCTCTAAAACTCTCATAGATTTTCCAACCACTGGCATGACCTATTAAACATTTTTAAACTGAAAAACAAATATGTAATTGAAATACTGATTTTGAAAAAAAGCTTAAAACAAAACTTACTTCGTAATCCAAGATCAGAAATAGAGCCTCCTTGACAGTGTTTGTATAAATAGTGTACTATCCCCTAAAGACAGGTACTAATTATTTTATTTACAAATGAACATGCAGAGAATTAAATGAGACAACTGATTGTCAACAACTGAAGTACTCAAAAATGGACCCATACAAACCTCACAAAGTGAGGGAGGAAAAACACCCCACCCACTTCACTAAAATATTCACACAAATAGTGCAAACGAAACAATCAAAGAAGTTATTCTCAGTATTCCAGTGTCTAATAAATAATTATAATTAAAGTTACTAAGTGGAATTTGAGAACAGAGGTTGGAAATATTGAGCTTATATAGCTGAGACTACTGCATTTAAGATATTTTATATGGTATATACACTTTAAATTACATCATGGTCACCATTCCATTATGGAATCATAAGTTTCACACTATGAACCTTTTTCATTCACATAAGGAAATATTGCTTTTATCTATCTGCTCTAAGCACAAGTAAGGTTCAGTCTCCTTAGAAATTAATGAAATCAAATTTACTTAATCTTTACTTTGCAATACTCCATTGTGCAATATAATTAACTTGCCACCTAGGTGACTGTGAAAGCTGGCTGATTCAAAAATTACTTTAAAATAGCTAGAAACACTGATCAAAGCCATTTCATTGGGTTTATTTTTGCATTTAAATAAATCCTCAGAAATATAATCAACTAGGAAACGGCAGCATACAACTGTTATGTGGCAGAAAATAGTAAGGCATAAATTAGAATAAAAAAAATATATCCTGACGTGTGGTATAGATACCTACATTTCTAACACTTCCCCATCTACGTTTATTACTCTACATTTTTTCTGGATTTAATACTTTTCTGAATGTGCTGTATTCACCAACTACCAGACCAGAACTGTAAAGAAACTGCAGAAATAGAAAGTGTTACATACCACATTTACCATAGTAGAAGTAAAGGGAGGCAGTGGGGTGTTAATATGTATTTGACAGGGGACAGGAGTTTGATTCTGGCTCTGCTTCTTAGTTATGTGACCTTGATCACTTCACAACCTTTTTGAACCTCAGTTTCCTGAGGATGGATATGAGAGGGTGGGTGTTGGGAGACTAGCTAGATTATCTCTAGGGTCTCTTCTAGCACAAACATCCTGACTCTATATTAAACAGGCACAGAGAAGTAATCAGGAGGGTAAGAGTGGAGGTAAGGGTCAGGACTTCAAATTACAACCATTTCCCCCCCAGCTTCACAAAACATTTTTATATTTAAAAGTCTTACTTCTACGTTAGCTTTTCACTTTACATTTTAGTTTGCTTTCTAGTAACATGATTTCAAATTAATGTCACAGAGAAGAGTTCTCAAAACCTTCAGATATTTCTTTGTATTTCTTAATCCAACCTGGCATAGATGGCATCAATTAAATTGTTTTCTTATAGAAAGCAAGTATTTTCTCCCTAACTGGCTTTTCCATAGATGGAAGGTCTTTTTTTAATGTAAGTTAGGAAGTATAAAACAAAAGGTTGTTAAAGGATAAAGTATGAATATTGCTGGCATATATTTGTAACAGCTGTTGTATAGCTGAAAAGTATTTTAAATTAAATGCCAATAAATAATGCGAAGGAATATCAAAAATTTCTTAGAAAATATGACTTTTGGTTTGTTAAACTCATTCCATTTTAACCAAATCTTGCACAGGAAATCTCTTCTAAGACCCTGAATGCAAAAGTTGAACTAAATGAAATGTTTCTTCATTGGGGCCAAATCACATCACTTAAAAGAATGGAACACAAATGTTACAAGGGTCATGAAACATTAATGGGTATGCATACGTACAAAATATAAACATATACACATACACATATACAAAAGAAATCCTCTCAATTGAAAGTTTTTCAAAACCAACTTTTCAGGTGTAACATAAGATTTCTAACAAACCAAAGGGAGATCTTATATTTATTACAGCTTTTGCTGTAATTTGGTATTATTTGGTATTTTTTTTGTGCTTTAACTAAAACGAAATCATGCTAGATTTAGATGCCAATAAGTGCACAACTTGTTAAATTAACAACAACCCCTCAGTCTCCTAAATCAACCAGGTATTTCTGCCATAAACTGACTGACCTCCAGCCATGGCTAAGATCTCACTTCCTGGTAAGTATAATGCTCTTTTCTTCTCATACCTGAAACTTTGCTCTCCTTAGTATGTTATAGATCTTTATACCTCATTTATTTTGGCTGCTTTTAATTCATTTATCTGACATCCCTTAGCTAAATTAAAAGAACTAAGGGATATCTAAAGTATGTCTTTGTGATATATACATATACACACCATATACATATACACATCCACACACATATTTATACAAATCAATAAATCTCTATTTATCAACTTTTACCTTTACCCCAGACTTTGGCAATGCTGTAGATACTAGTTCAGGTTCTAGCTTTCCATTTTCCTGGGAGCTGAAAAATGTTACAGACTACCAAATTCAACCAAGCAATTCATTGTTCTTATAAAGATTCTAACAGAAAGTGCATTAAACAAACAAACAAACAAAAAAAACCTCTTAGGATCAAAAAAAAGAGGAGGGGATTTTTAGATGTGAAAAAAACAAGAGGCATTTTTCTGGTTATTTTATTAACAAAATCTATTGTAACTTTTATTGGTAGAGAGAAAATTTTAAACTTTGTTAATTAGGAGAATACTTTCTATAAATTCAGTATATTTCTCTTTCACGATATTAAAATAAAAATGTCTAAATGTACAAAGCACTAATAGCTCTGATGTCTTCTGTGGAAGGATAACGTATAGCAGTTCAAGTCACAACATTGATTTCAAAAATCAATATATTCTCCTCTATTTCAATCAAGCACTAGAGCCTGAGACCCAGAAGAGGTCATAATGAAATCTTATCCAACCAAATCAGAACTAAAAAATTTTTTTTTACCAATAATGCATTTTTGTAGCCTCTTAGCACAGTTACCAATTATTACTTACACACATTCAACATCTAGCTTACTGGCATGATTTCAAAGTTTTATAAAAATGAGAAACTTTTGGAGATATATGATTAGAAGGTACACAAATTGCATTACATTTAAACACAAAGGCAGTGTGGTCCCTATAGGAGAAATCAAGTCAGTACCCCCTGGTAGAAATGTTCTATAAAAATGTGTCACATTGAAGCATCAGTGTTTTCAGCCAATTATCTGTCCCTGATGTATTTCCTTGGAGTATATGATCTATTAGGAGTTCAGGTCTCTTAATTCAAAATATCTGACTGAATTTAGGTACATCTAGAAAGCAGCTGAAAGGGCTTCTCCAATAGTCTGACATCACAGAAAGTGGGTTGAGAAATCCCTCTCTTTACCTGAAGACGTACTTGTTCTACTTCAGTCATCATCAGCTCACAAAGGAAAAGAAAAAAACCAATCAAAACTTGCTCTCACACACACAATCCCACACAAGATAAACAAAAACCACCCCTTCCCGCCCACAAAACCCCAGCACCAAAGTGTCAATCATTCCTAGGAAATAGAACATGCCCCTTGGATTCTCTGATTTGTTAGTTGTTCAAACTTAAAGGACAAAATGACGTTATGTCCTTGTGGGGAGGAGGGAAGACATGTTAATAATGACTACAGAGCCATTGAGAAAGTGCATTATCAATTACACAATCAATTTAGAGCCCTGCCCTCCGATGGAGGTGGCCACCACTTGATTTAAACACCTCAGTAATTGAACAACTGTGTCCTCGAGATAAAGGAGATGGGAGAAAAAGAGCCACCCTCATTTTAATGAAAAAGTGCAGCAGTCTACCACCTTTCCCCATGCTTCTCAAGAAAACGATTGCACAGACTCAGAGAAGTCCAAAGTCATAGCAGAATCTCTGAGGCACTCCTGGTTAAGAGAGAAAAAAATATGATCCAGTAATCTTCATAGTTCTATAGATTATGAGAACAAACCCGTTTTGTTTTGTTTTTTTAAAAGAAAGCCAAAGAATCATTTCATAGGGATCATATACACCATTTCCTCTAACATATCCTCAGTCTCACAGTGTTGAAACGGGACCGATCAGCCTACGATGGATTGCACATCACCCAAGGAGAAGAGAAGGCATGGAAAATGCAAACATTTTATACTGCTTCACAAACACATTTACAAGGAGTAGGCGAAGGGAAGATATAGGAAGGAGGGAAAAGAAAACCTTATTGCTGTTTCCATACAAAATACAGGATGAAAATACCTAAACTAAATCAAATCTGATTATGATGACCAATATTTTCACAACGTGGGATGAAGTGTCTTTTTGCACAATGAAATGTTCAGTTTAAAAGGTAAGCAGAAAGATGAGAAAGGATGTTAAACTACACCTGGGATATTAGCTGCATATTGAAACTTGGGGATCGAGATTGCTTGTTTAAGGGAGCTCCTGGGCTGAGGAGCTCTTTACCTTCTCCAGCTTGACCTAGCCGGTCTTCCTGTAGACTGATAGTTGAGTATCGATTAGTATTGTTAGCTGCTAAATTAGTAACTCCCTCAGTGCCAACCCCAATGCTGGTACTTGCTTGACTGCCATTTACATAGTCAAATGATTTACTTGAGGAAGCACTGGCTGTCCGGATTAGACTTAAACTATTGTTTTTTGGCACCACCGAGCCAGCAGGCAGGCTCAGGTGTTTCTTCATCGGTGTCAGCTCAATTGAATCTACACTAAGGTCAGCTGGTTGCTGTACATACTGCCTGCGAACTACTGAATCTCGAGGGCTCTCACTGGATTTGATGACAGAGGCTGTTTCTTTATCCTTGGCTGAACGCCCAGTTGCTACTTTCCTTAAGCTTCCCCTCTGAGAAGAGAAGGACGGTTTGGTCCCAACTGGCTGACTGCTGAGGGAAGCCCCTGACGAAAATCCTTCATCTGCATCATTCAGGTTTACCGACTCCTCTCCTCCATTTACACCCTCAGCACCTAAAAAACAAATCAGACAGACTAAGCAATAGCTAAATTAAATAAGCAGCAGCTGTGAATAACAACTCAACTAACTTCATCTCGGGCATTTTTGCTATAGGTTGGCAAAGGCCCTGCTAACAACATTTCCCGTAAATAATTTAGGAGAAGAAACCATAATCTACACAGAATTCTAATGTGTTATTCATTCTGTTCATTTAGCTTTAATTAGTTCAGCTTTTGTAAAACTATCCACAAACGAACTTAGTATACTATCAATATTTAGGCACATAAAACAATTTTAGGTAAAATACAACATTTTGTTATCATAAATCTTTATAATACATCGTTGTCAATTTGAGGTAACCACATCTATTTAAAAAAACAAAATTTTGTCCTCATCTTCCTTAACCCACCATAAAATAGAGCATGCAAAAGAGACTCCCTTTTAATTTCAGCTACCGAGAGTAATGCCCAAAACACATTTATCCCTACAAGCCAAACCCTTTTTAACTACAATAAAATTTTATATTCATTCAACAGCTAACTGCTTCTAAATGGCTTTAAAACCTTTAACATGGAACTAGTAAATTTTCTAACTCTAAACTGAAAAACTCTACATTGCTTCCAATAACTTCATAATTGTATCCTATCTAATGGACATATCTACTCACTGGTTTCCATATTTTCTTCTTCAATCAATGTGAAGAAAATATTTGATTATCAGAGAGCAAGGGTAAGGGAACCAGCAGGAATATTTAAGAAGGATTTTTACTTTCTATATTATGTATTTCTGTAATACATTAGATTTTTAGTGTCGAGATTTATAATTGTTGTCACAAAATACTATAGCGTTCCATTACGTTTCATACAGAAACAAGTTAACAAAGGAATCCTTATCTTAGGATTTTGTAAGAAGGGGAGAAGCATACACAATATATTTAGTTTGGGGTTTCCAGGAAACAGAAATGTTTCAACATAATCCCACACCTTCAATTCTCTTACTGCAAGTATGATCAACATTCTCTTAGAAACTAATACATTTGCTTCTTTCAAAACCTGATAGTGGTTTGCTACCTCATTAAATATGTTTACCAAACTGCAAACAGTTTAATCTGGATCTACATAAAGATATCAATATTACAGTTAAGGTAAAATATTAGGAAAGAATTCTAAACAAATATTTTGAGATAACAGGTTACCTAAGTAAAATACATATGAAATATTTAAATACAATCTTTATTTAACATAGTTCCTGGAAAAATAAAAAGATTTTCTTAGCTATATTTTCTCATATGGATTAGTTATTTCTTTCCTTCAAAAGAATGAAATAGGCTATCCTTAAAGCAAAAGGCACCTTGTTATTATATCTAGCAGTTTAATAATCTTTAATCATCATGCAAAGCCATATGAAAATGCAGCTGACACCATTTCTCTCAACACCTTCTTCAAAAGAAAAGTATATGATGTATCTCAAAATAAAAACTTTAAATTATATTCATATGATATCATCTTAGCAATTTACTTACGATTAGTATAAAGAACTCCAAGATGCCCAAGAAAAGACAGTTACTGGTTCAGAATTTATATCAGTAACATGAAACTGGGAGTGAACAGAATGTATCATTGGGTACATATATAATTAGGAAAGGAGACTGAGAGACTTAGTGCTAGCTTCTGCGTCTTGCCACATGCAGATCTGATGCCCAAGCAATATGGCCATAAAAGAGAAGATGATAACATAAAAGTCACCATGCAAGAGAATCTACTGATATGTTACACACTAAGAAATGCTTTTCAATATAGTAGAACACTGACTATACTTTCATTATAGGTGTTGTCCTCAGTTTAGTAATAATTTTAAATCCAGCTTTAAAAGTCACAAATAAAACATTACTTGACAATCAGGATAAGGGCAGGCAGGTGATGGGCTCATATTCTTCCTTCAATTTCAACATATAATAAATACAATTTTAAATATAAAACTATTTAAAACCATCATACTAGAAAACATGTTTTCTTTTTTTAAAGGTCAATTATTGATGTTAATCCAAAAGCTCCAGCAGACTTCAGAACTACCAAACTTTTCAGAGGTTTTGGTAATTTCCTTCATTCTGTTTAAAAAAACCTCAAGGAATAATAAGGCGATTGTGTGTCCCTACTTTTTTCCTATCTAATTTTCTCCCTGGGTGATAACAATATTCATGATCCAAAGAAGAGACAATCAAAAAGGATTTTTAATGCACTTTTCTGTTCATGTCTGCTTCTCCTTATAAATTTAGCTTCTATTAATATATATATTTTTTACCTTGTTATTAAAGTGGTTTATTTATTTATTTTTTAATTTTTTGTTTATTGCAGTAACATTGGTTTATAACATTGTAAAAATTTCAGGTGTACATCATTGTACTTCTATTTCTG